GCATTCATTTCGTGTTTTTTCAGTAAATGCACAATCAACAGATTTTTATATCAGCCTTTACCACCGATTATATCTGAATTTCACCCAAGTCACTGGCTGTGAACGTCATGTCTGTCTTTAGAGTCAATATCTGCACGTTTACAAGTGAACACTAATGTCTTCACTCATATCACAAGGTCCGTGTTTCTATCCCTCTTCCTATTCGACTGATTAACTTATCCATAACCACTCATAAAGTAATCCAAAATGTAGTCAGTAGCCATGCCTATCAATCTGTCCTGCTGTCGGCGTATGAATATTTTTCTGAACGTTGTGCAGCATGACGCCTGAAGTCCTCTACTAACCCCAACTCGTGCACACTGATCTTTAATCAAAACTCGAAAAATAAAATTTTGCCTTTTAGTCAGTTAGTCAGTGATGCTCTACAAAGTGCACCATGTAGGTTTTATTCTAGCTGCCTTACTAAAAGAAGACATTTTCTATCCATAAATCTTTTCCGAATTGATGGAATGATTTTTGCTTTGTTCGATACATAGATGAAAGGTCAAAAGCCGCTAACATACGTACGTCACTTCCTCTTCGGATATGTTTTAGTGATCAGCTAATGTATCTTTATCTTCTTCTTCTATATCTTAAGGGCCCACGATCAATTTATTGATCATTTTGGCTCCTATGCATGTAGATGGGATTTGCAATGTTTCTGTTACTGGTGTTAATGAGGAAATCATGGACTAGGGGTTTGAAGGCTGGAGGCAATAGACACAAATGTGTCTAGTGTTGTCGCCTCAACCGTTCCTTTTGAAAGATTGTTCCAGTCCCTGATTGTCTTGGGCAGGAATGAGCAGCTCCTATACTTGCTTCTTGCTGGTAGGAGCCTGAATTGCCTGTCATGGCCTCGTCGCTGTCTATGGGGGAGAGGGACGAGTTTCTGTTTAATACTGGAACAGTGGACCAGCCCATTATTTATCTTGTACATCATGGAGAGCCTGGATTGTCGTTGTCGTTTCTCCAATGGTGACCAGCCTAGTGTTTCTAGCATGCTGCCAACACTAGAGGTATGCCTGTAGCGGTTTAGGACAAAGCGTGCTGCTCGTCGCTGGACCGCCTCCAACCTGTCAATGCTCTTCTGGGTAAATGGGTCCCAGACTGAAGATGCATAATCTAAAATCTTTATATTTATCTAATCCACCAATAAGTGTCATTGGGTTCATCTAACAATAAATGTGTGTGATATGTAGATCCATTGGGTTCATCTAACAATACATGTTTGTGATATGTAGATCCATTGGGTTCATCTAACAATAAATGTTTGTGATATGTAGATCCATTCGGTTCATCTAACAATAAATGTGTGTGATATGTAGATCCATTGGGTTCATCTAACAATAAATGTTTGTGATATGTAGATCCATTGATCTATCTGTTTACTTGCTGTTTGTTTTAGATCGTTTTTGTTCATGTCTGCACCTCAACTCGAACGTTTGTTCACCCATTTATCTGTGAACAGAAATCTCACTAAGTCAGCCTCGCTCTTTGGAAACGTGACATAGTGTTCCCATCTTTACGTAAGATCGTGTTCCAATCGTATGTTGTACTACATGTTTATTTGAGTTATTTTTTCAATGATATGTTGTGCTACATGGTTACGTGAGTTATTGTTTAAATCCTATGTTGTACTACATGTTGACGTGAGTTCCCATCTTTACGTTAGTTTGTGTTACCGTCTTCTGTTGGGCTACATGTCTATGTGAGTTAGTGTTTCCATTGTATTTCTACAACTTGTTTACCTGAGCTATGTTTCCAATATGTGTCTGTACGCTCTGTTTCATATTTCAAATTTAACGACTGACATAATAAAGTATTCTTTTATTATATGACATTGTAAGCTAATTTTTATACGTTAAGTTAGTTAATTTTTTTTTCTAACGATCTTGCAATTTTGACATAACCTTTAGACTAGAACTTTGTTCAGTTTTTTCCTGCTTTAGACATGTTCAACCCCACGAGGAAACAGAAATAGTTAATCACCTGTCCTGACCAACCATGGATGGCAGGGGCGCCTACAATACCACAACGCCCCTTTATCTCATGACGAACGTGTCAACAGCGACGCCCCGGCTGGGGCCCTTGGTTAGCGACGTATACAAACACATCGTTGACGTCGTCCTCTTCGTGTCGTTCAACGGCGTCGTCGGGTTGTTGGGCTCCCTCGGCAACGTCATCAACATCATCGTCTTTCTCAGACAGGTTGGTCAGTCTGTACAGTGCTAGTGAGAATGCCCCAGGCAGCTTGGCGTGTCTGCCTAGTGCTAGTGAGAATGTCTCAGACAGGTTGGTCGGTCTGTCGAGTACTAGTTAGAATGTCTCAGACAGGTTGGTCGGTCGGTCGAGTGCTAGTTAGAATGTCTCAGACAGGTTGGTCGGTCTGTCGAGTGCTAGTTAGAATGTCTCAGACAGTTTGGTTGGTCTGTCGAGTGCTAGTTAGACTGTCTCAGACAGGTTGGTTGGTCTGTCGAGTTCTAGTTATAATGTCTCAGACAGGTTAGTTGGTCTGTCGAGTGCTAGTTATAATGTCTCAGATAGGTTGGTCGGTCTGTCGAGTGCTAGTTAGAATGTCTCAGACAGGTTGGTCGGTCTGTCGAGTGCTAGTTAGAATGTCTCAGATAGGTAGTTGGTCTGTCGAGTGCTAGTTAGACTGTCTCAGGCAGGTTGATCTGTTTGTCTGGGTTAGTGAGAATATGTTCATGTAGCATTTAAAACTAACTTATAGAAATATATTAGTTGTAACGAGGCCATGTCATGTATCTTATTTTAAGCCAAGCCACAGAAATAAGTTTGTCTGAAATTGTTCACCTTCTTTATTTAGAATTTTACGCTATGTCATACAGTCGGATTAGCAGAAAGCAATGAAGCTTCCTCATATAGAATTCAGTGCCAAGTCATTACAGGCATTTGGTTTCATTTACATTTCAAATTTGCCGTGACACAGTATGCGTGAAGTTACTTAGGGGTATTTACATATTATAGGCGAGGAATATATAGAGCCGTTCTTCAAGTTCACATGACATATACACTGTCTCAGTATCTTCAAGTCTGTTGTGAGATCACGTTTGGCTGATGTTTGTGAACGTGGTGAGAACTCTGAACAAGTTGTCACAGATGGATATATATTGTCCGGTTTTAAGGGTTTTTTTTACAACGAATTCAGCGGTTCTCAACATTTGGTTCGCGACAACTTTGGGGATTCGTACGACCCTCTTGGAAGGGTCACCTAAGACCATCGGAAAACACACATGCTCTACTCTACAGTTATGAAATAGCAACGAAAATGATTGTTTGGCCTTGGGTCGCCACAACAAGAGGAACTGTATTAAAGGGTCGCGGCATTAGATAGGGTGAGAACCACTAAACTAATGTGAGATATTTACTTGGGGCTGAGCCAATTGTTAACATGGATAACAAAGAATTCCGAAGATAACACACCCGGACCAGGATAATGAAATGGACACGAAAATTTGACACTATTGATATGAACATTTTTGTACATATATTTTTTGTAAACGTTTACCTCTGAAATGAATTAAATAAAATAATATTAGATAATTGACTGACAATCGGTTCAAAACTAAATGTAAGCTAAATGAAACTAAATTTAAGCTAAATAAAACTAAATTTAAGCTAAATATACTAAATGTAAGCTAAAGGAAACTAAATGTAAGTTAAATGAAATTGAATGTAAGCTAAATGAAATCAAGTATAAGCTAAATGAAATTAAATGTAATTTGAATGAAACTAAATGTAAGCTAAAGGAAATTAAATACAAGCTAATTGAACCTAAATTTTTAATGTAAGCTATAAAAACACTAAATGTAATGTAAATGAAACTAAATGTAAGCTAAAGGAAAGTGAATGCAAGCAAAATGAAAACATAGTTAAGCTAAATGAAACTGATGGTAAGCTAAATAAAAACAAATGTAAGCTAAATGACAATTCAAAGTTCGAATAATAATGCTTGCTTCGTGTGTTTTCTTTTTTGGTGTCATATGTTTGAGCAAGTTGTCTACCTTTTGTTCTGATTGATGACACTCCCCGTTTACGATGAATGTTTCCCTTCACATGCTGGCTGCCAAGATGTCAGTGCCCATCAACAGTTACGCCTCTCGGCTGTGAGGCAAAGCTTTCTGTCACTAGATAATAATATCAATTACTTTTGTTTAGAATATCGTATTTTAAATCAAGGGAATATCGATTAATTTTGTTTAGACGATCGTATTTAAAATCAAGAGAATATCGATTATTTTTTAAAGAATATCGTATGTCAAATCAGGGGAATATCGATTACATTTGTTTATAAAATGGTATTTGAAATCAAGTGAATATTGATTACTTTGATTAGAATATCGTATTTCAAATAAAGGGAATATCAATTACTTTTGTTTAGAATATCGTATTTGAAAACTAAGGAATATCGATTACTTTTTTTAGAATATCGTATGTTAATTCAAGGGAATATTGACGATGTTAAGACACTTTAGACTTGTAAACTTAGCTAAATACGTTTACAAATTTAACGAATCAATTCAATATATTGGTTTCTTTCGCAGCGAAAGCTATTTGCTGTTTAAAGTAAATACATTTTTTTGTATTTGAAATTTTAATCAATCTATTAATTTTCGATTTTAGGTCTTAACAATAGGATATTAATGTCTTTATCACCATTACAATGGCCTTTTAATCTTTATTGTTTGGACTCAACAAAATTTCTTTAGGCTATAATTTTCCTGATAATACATTCTATAGTTACATTGCCACATGATGAATCCTCCTTGGGCGTCTAGGGTCCATGACAGTATCTTTTGCGATCCTTTGTCAATGACAATGGATACAAAAGACTCCTCCCACCCCTCCGAAAACAGATTCTTGGTCACGAACAATAGAGTTATCAGATCAATTTTCTAGTATTTGCACCATATTTACCCCTCCCCCTCTAGTTATCATCTGTTTCTTTTTCCTACCAGGGCTTCAAAGACACAGTCAACATCAGTCTCCTGTGCTTGTCCGTCTCTGACCTTGGCAGCCTGGTGACCTTGGTCTGGGAGAGCATCACCGTGAATCCGCTGTTTATGGAATCAGAGTTGCCGTTCGATTCGGCGGATGTCAGTTATCTGACGGCAGGTGAGACTTACCGAAAATGAGAATTACCTTTAATTACGACCAGGCTAGACTTACATTTACTTCATGCAGGTAGGAGTTATCTTTAATTACGGCAATTAAGACTTACCGTACTTCTCCGGAGGCTATCTGTATCTCATGTGCCACACTGTCTAAAAATATTCGTGCACTCCGTCATGTGCCAAAATGTCTGTGCACTCGATCATGTCACAAAATGTCTGCGCACTCGGTCATGTCACAAAATGTCTGTGTACTCGGTCATGTCACAAAATGTCTGTGTACTCGGTCATGTCACAAAATGTATGTGCACTCGGTCATGTCACAAAATGTCTGTGAACTCGGTCAGGTCATAAAATGTCTGTGTACTAGGTCAGGTCACAAAATGTCTGTGTACTCGGTCAGGTCACAAAATGTCTGTGTACTCGGTCAGGTCCCAAAAGTCTGTGTACTCGGTCAGGTCACAAAATGTATGTGTACTGTGTCAGGTCACAAAATGTCTGTGTACTCGGTCAGGTCACAAAATGTTTGTGTACTCGGTCAGGTCACAAAATCTTTGTGTTCTCGGTTGCGTCACAAAATATTTGTGTACTCGGTCAGGTCACAAAATGTCTGTGTACTCGGTCAGGTCACAAAATGTTTGTGTACTCGGTTATGTCACAAAATGTCTGTGTACTCGGTCAGGTCAAAATTTTTGTGTACTCGGTCAGGTAACAAAATGTTTGTGTACTCGGTCAGGTCACAAAATGTCTGTGTACTCGGTCAGGTCACAAAATATCTATGTACTCGGTCATATCACAAAATGTTTGTGTACTCCGGCATGTCTATGAATATGACAAGATTAAGTACCAGCATTCATCGATCGCTTTCTTAAAATTCAAAATTAATCTATGTGAATTGTAAGATCCCTCGCCAATAATATGTAAAACCTGTCACAGTGAAATTCTCGAATTTTAACAACTCGATACTAAAAGGCATGTCATTGAATGTCATCTTCGTCTGCTTCAAAAGTTCAACTCCTAGTGGTGTAGGCGTATTGGCCATTAACAGCATCCTACTAAGCCCTCCGTTCTCTTGATATTGTTTCTAAATCTTTCCAACACTTTCCAACTCTTTCAAATATGAATACATGTCCTAAATAATCCAAAATCAGGTTGCCTTGTTTCGCTGCTTGTTCACAATGAAATATTATTTTTCCCCCCACACAATATTTTAAAATAATTATGTCAAGAGTAACTCCATACGGATATGTAAAATTCAGCGTATATATTATATGGGTACAATGTTAATTAATGTTTAAGTAACATCAATACTTTTTTCTTTTCTAATCTAAGATACCTTAAAATTATTTTTGCCTTATTGCTATTTTTTTTTTTACAAACTTTATGAATAGCATGCATCATGATTTCAACTTGAGCACTTAACATCAGAAAACTTTTTTTGTTCACCTTTGTATCCATTCCCGCACACAGCCGTGCCCCGCGCCATTTTTTTGAGAGTCGCCTGGTGGATCACCGCTTTCGTCACGCTCGAGCGATGCCTCTGCATCGCGATGCCGCTCAAGGTCAAACAGATGATCACGGCCCGACGCACCGTCGTCATCAACGTCGTCCTCTTCGCCGGCAACCTCATCGGGCTGTGCCCCATTTTCCTCTGCAGAACGCTCAGTCCGCAATTCAACTTAGCGAATAATCGGACCATCGTGGTGACGGTGAAGTCCGATGGGTTCGTCGACATCGAAAACATCGGCTTCACTTTCAGCGTCGTCTCGCAGTTCAGCGCCTTCATCATTGACGTCGTGTGCACCGTCACCATCATTCAGATCCTGCAGATGAAATCGAAATGGCGGAGCGAGACGGCCAGCACATCCGCTTCCGGTTCGAAGGCCGGCTTCGAGTCGAGGGACAAGAAGCTGATCAAGATGATCGCGTTCAAATCGTGCATCTTCATCGGGTGCTCCATGCCCAGCTGTTTCAACTACGCAGTGACGGTCACCATGGATGAGTACTTGCGACATCCCCGCTACTATAACGTAAACCGGATCTCGTGGGCCGTCATCGTGGCGTTGGAGGCTATAAACAGCTCGGTGAACGTGTTTGTGTACTACAATATGAGCGGCAAATACCGGGCTGCGTTCAATGAAATGTTCTTCGGCAAAGATAGTGCCCCGAAACTGAAAGGTTAAAAGCAATAAAATAGAAAATTTTCATTAAATTTTTCATCTATGTGATACTATTTAATGATTATTTTTAAAGTTATATTTTCAACGCGTACAAAGACATCGATGTTAAAACGTAGTTCTTTCCTGTTTATCTTAAAATTAAACAACTTGTGATGAAAATATAGTTTGGTTCTATTTATTTCAATTCTCCATTTACAAATGCGTACTAGACTTATATCTTGTCATATTTGATCAAAAGTTGTTAAAAAGACTGCATAGATCAAGCTACCTGAAAGTGAAGAGAAATATTTCCGATCATGCCAAAATTTTATTTTTATTTAAAAATAAATAAATCATTGTAAAAAATGTATTCATGTTTTCTATAAAATTCTTTGTTTTAAATAAAATATTTATGTTTTCAATAAAATAATTATGTTTTCAATAAAATATTTATGAATCGTATACATTACAATCGTAATATTAGAATATTTAAATATGTGTAACAAAAGCTGAAATAGACGATACTGTTATGTGTAATACGGCTTTTTTAAATTATACATAAAACAATATAAAAGGATTTACTAAGATAACAGACGGAGAAAATATCTGAAAAGCATTCCTTTCCTTAGCGAATATATTTCTACAGAGAATGGTGAAGATTTTTTATTGTTTGATTCTGGGCCGGTGGATGACAGAATTTTAATATTTTCAACCAGAAATAACCTACGTTTACTTTCAAGCTAAAAAAAACTGGTATGCAGTTACCACCTTTATTTGAGCAATTGTATACAATACATGGCTTACGTGAACATACTGCTGTGCCATTAGTTTATGCACTTCTTCCAAACAAAACTGTACAAAGTTACATACAACTTTCAAGAGCTATCAAAGACTAAGAGTCTGCTTGTAATCCTCATTCTTTTCTCATAGACTTTGAGCTTGCAATGGTAAATGCCATAAATGTTGAGTTCCCTCAAACAATTATTCGAGGATGCTTTTTTTCACTTCTGCCAGTGTATTTATAGAAATTTGCAAAGAAATGGCTTGAAGCTTAATTACAACTGTGACCCCGAATTTGCATTAAAGATACGAATGTTGTCTGCCTTAGCATTTGTTCCTAAAAACATGTGGTACAGTATTTTGAGTTACTTTGCAACAGAAATATTTTACCCCCTGAAGCTCAAGTAGTTGTTGAATATTTTAAGGACACATGGATCGGTCGACCTAATCGTAGTCACCGTCGTCCACTTCGATTTCCCCTTCATATGTGGAGTTGCTATGATGCTAGCCACCAAGGTTGGCACATGGGCTTTCAGAACCAAGTTTGCGCTGACCACCCCAACATTTGGAAATTTATAAAAGCTATCAAACGTGAACAAAGTTTGAACGAACTTCTTATTGAACCATACATCAGTGGTCAAGAGCCTCCTCCAGGAAGAATACAATATAAAGATTCAGCAGAAAGACTTAATCGCATTGTCAATTCTTTTGAACCCAATATTCAGGCTGAGGACTATTTACGTGGAATAGCACTTAAGATTGCCTACTAAAGTGTGACATTAAATTTAATGAACCAACAGTCACAATAGAACTGTTTTATTATATTTATAAATCATATATAACAGTATGGGACTTCATTGTTTGGATATAGTCCTTCTAAAGTGCCTAACATCTGGTGATGTTTGACAAGACCCATTGGTTTCTTCATTTTATCTGTGAGCACTGTAAGTTTTCTGAAATTATTGTCTATAAGAACTTACTTCATTTCAAGAAATGAAGTATACCCATTGTGTTTTCCTTACTAGTGTTACTCTATGAAACAATAGTGACATGATCTTATGTTATGGTAACTTTTTTCTGATATTGATAAATGAGTTTTTCATCTTGCTAATGTGTTTTAGATGTTGGAACAAAATAAAAAGTGTATGCATTGTTAGTTGTTAAATACTTAAGTAATGTTTAAATGGATTTAATTGATAATTGAAATAATCTATATCAGTGGTCCCCAAATGGCATTCCGTGGACCTTCACCGTTCCGCATGCCTAACGCTGCTGGTCCTCATAACATAAATATTTATTGTCAAATAGAAATAAATGAATAAAAATAAATCATGCACCGGTCCCTGGTAAAATTTCGAAAATTGTTCACCGGTCCGCCAAACTTAAAAGTTTGGGAACCACTGATCTATACCTCAGTAAACTTTTCTACTATGAAAGAATATATATATATTCTTTTAGTTAGTGACTGTCCGGTCCGAAAGCTCCCGGAGCTGCGTGCCAACCAGAGGGGATTTCGTTGGGAACAAAACTTGCCCGGACAACTCTTTGGACGGTGGGGGCAGAGTTTCAGGCTTTAGAGACTAACTCCCGGAGTGGAAGAAAGCCGTCCCACACCAAGGAAAACGTACAGCTCTTGGGGCGGTGGGGGTGGCGACGCAAAGTCACCACCAGAGAGGAAGTAAGGCTGCCCCAAACCCACTTTATTCAAGGCCGAGTTGCATGGCCGGAGTCCCCAGGGACTACCAGGCCATGTTTCACGGCCGGGGGTCCTAAGGGATTTAATCTCGCACCCCTTAGAGTATTAATCTTTATTAGTTAGTGACAACTGGCAATAAATAAATTATTTTTTAAACTTCTTTTGATAAATGTCTCATTTTATTTATATTGTTTATACAAACAAATAAATATCTCTATATAACTATAACTATCCATAGTATTTATTATTATGATTCAGTAATGATACTTTTTAGTGTTTGGTCAGAAAAAAAACATGTTGTCTTTAATGAAAAAGTTAATATGCTATTTAATAGAATGTTAGAAAATGTAAGAGAAATTTTTCACAACACAATCCTATTTTTGAAATGATACCATGATGATGTTGATATTGTCATTACATAAGATATGGAAGTAACTATTGTGGTGTAACATTTGGATAAAATACTGCATATGAAAGTTTAATAGAATATAAAAACAATATTTGTCAGGATTCATATGTTTTCATTTCCCACTTTAATTGATAAGACTACTTCAGATCATGTACATGGTTTTTCCCACAATTTTGATATGACAGTAACAAACAAATTGCTTTTAAACACATGAGTCAAAAGTAATTTTTTTTTAAACCACTCATCTGTTATTTTATGCTTATTTTATTTAGTAACATGTTCTAAAAAATGTGTTATCTGACCACATTCATATAGAAATAGGTAAAGGAATTATAAGCTATTATAAATATTAAATATATTATCACAAGTTTAATAAACATTATGTAACTTGTATTTGTATGGAACAACATGTTGAATTGAACGATTTGTTCACATTATTATATTGCCTTTTAATTGGGGAAATGAAACAAAACATTTTTAAAGTAAATATTACATTAGAAAAAACAGTCATAGTAACTGTGATTGTTTATTACAAATTTTTTAAGGGCATTATTTGCATAGAATTTTTTTTAAATTTAACATAAATTATCTTTTGACTTAAAACAATTGAAAAGTATTTGTTATAGATTAATAATTAAAAATATGATTGAAATAGAACTTGACTTAACATGTCAATGGATTGACAAACTGTTAATTGCTGTATTCAGTGTAATATTGAATACCTAACAGAGATATAAAAAAGAAACCTAATCAATAATTTTAATGTCGATTCATATCTTTCTTCATATGATGTGTATATTCAAAAGATTTGTTTGCTAAACATTTTGGTTCCCACACCTATAGGGGACTGGAACAAGCTTCCAAAAGCAACAGTTGAGGCGGCTACACTCGAGACATTTGTGTCTATTGCCTCCTGTATTCCAACCCCCAGTTCATAACACCACTGCTGAGTCGCCCTTGCAACCAGTGAAGCATCCCATTGAAACCCATGCACAGTAACATCGCAAACCCCTCTGAAACATAGGAGCCAGAATGATCAATTCATTGATTGTGGGCCCTTAAAATAAAGAAGAAGAAGACACCTTTTGTACTGGTACAACAGTTTTGGCATGCTTTGTTGATTGTAGATCAAATCGATTGAGACACAGAAAAGAATAGATAGGACGGACTAGTGAAAATGCTGAAAATTTAAAGGTATACAATGTGGTGTTTTGGTGGTAGACTATTATTATTATTATTGTTCATGCGAAAACGACCAGGGCAATATTTGACTTAAGGTGCAGCCTTGAATTTTTTTTTTTTTTTTTTTTAAAGTTAGGAAGGGTTGCTCAATTCGTCAGCCTTGTCCATCTTATAAAATGGCAAAACTTTGTCAAGAGACTTGGAAATAGATCAGGATGCAGTAGATGACCAGCCGTGTGTGTGTTTCAATGTGCAGGGGTTGTCGGAATCTTTAAGATTGCCCGTGGACAAGATACATTTTAAATCGCCTAATTTTTTTTTTTTCAAGTCTCAAACCCATTATTTTAACATTAAAATCAAATCAAATCAAATCACATTTTCGCGCCCCTAACTAGATGGCGTCTGGGGACATCTATGCCATTTACTGCCCCCCTTCGCCACACTTCTGTTGCGGATTCAACTTCAATCAACACGCTGGATATTGTTTTCGTTAGACCGCTTGTCCACCTGATGTTGATTATAATAATACACCATAATTTTATTTTACTGTATACAATAGTGTATTTTTGCAAGCTCAGCGGTGGCGGAATTCAAGTTATACCTCATCAGAAGAACTGGAGTTGATAACTCTAGCAACATTTTCTTCATAGTGGTAGTAGTTTGACAGGTTAGGGTGAACAGGAGAACATTGTAGCTTAACTCTCTATATTACATTACACGCAGAAAATGTTTGAAAGAATGAAAAAATAATTAACTACATTTCTTCTTTTAGAAATAACACGCTTAGTGGTCTATTGTAAGAATAAATGTGTCTTTAATATTTAATTGTAATTTTTTAGTTTTTTTTGTTTGAGTTGCTATATTTTGGAGGAAGTAATTAGGAATACGATTGACCATTTGGGTTATTATTCAGCTAAAACT